CAGCAGTACTTCTATATGGAAGTTTAGAATGTTTGACAATTTCCCCACAGATGAAGAGGTAACTTGAGGTAAAAAGAAACACAAAGAAAATACCGTAAGCAGTGCCTCTGGACCGCAAATAAGTTTGAAAGAAAATATGAATAAAAAAGATCACCTATAATTAGAAAAAGAAAGAGACGATAGAATTGTCTGGAAGACAATGAGTTAAGCTGTTTTGGAAAATTTGATACTCCCGGGACAAATTAAAGGCAAAAGTCACAGAGATATAGAGGAAATAACTACGAAACGAGCTTGCAGAAATAGATAGCAGAACAAGAAGCGACAGGAATAGTAACGACACCAACACTACAAAGACCTATCAAGGATAGGGTGTAGCGAACAACCATGATCGCCCTCATCCTAAAGAGCACATAAGAAAAACATTAAATGGCCTGTCGCCCTATACTTAGCATTTATCAATGTACAGTGTCTTGACGCCTTCCTCCTTTTCATTATGATCGTACTTATTGGTGTTATGTGCCATTGTAGCCTTTCTGTTGGCTCGTAATTCCTAGAGAATTATTCAATTTTCGCATCTGTAGATCTTTTTCGACTGATGCCTAATTGACAGTTCGTGATGTTTTTTCTCTTATTGCAAAGTATGTATTCTCTATATCTAAAGATGGTCACCATATATGATCTGACCTAATCACCTGGCGATAACATTTCGGTACTCTAATGTTATTGTTCTTGCGCATAACTGTATCGTTTAAGACACAAGTAAGAACTGTAATTATTCGTATGTAATACACGGTCATCTATAATAAGAACCTCTAACTTTGGGCTTTGATATTCTTGTGTCAAACAAAACCTCTGAATTTTATAAATCGCATTGACTTTTGAAAATGTGAAAATTTGACCTTTGACAATTTGACTTCTGAAAATGTGAAAATTTGATTTTTGAAAATGTGAAAATTTGACCTTTGACAATTTCAGTTTTGAAAATGTGAAAATTTGACTTTTGCAAATGTGAAAATTTGAGTTTTGAAAATGTGAAAATTTGAATTCTGAACATTTGACGTTTGAAAATTGAGAATTTGTAAATGTAACCTAAATTAAATATTCGATCTGATTTTTTCCGGTTGGAATCGAATAAATATTAAAATTTATGTAGTTTACGTTATGTTTTGGAGTTGTAACGGAGTGGGTCTAAAAAACATTGGTTGGCAGGAGACAAAGCCGACCCCCCCTGCAGCTACAATTCCATCGTGTAATTTTCATTTTAAAATTTTAAAAAATATACGTTGATAAAAAAAAGTGTACTATTAAAACGTTTGTAGAAAAAAATGTGTATTTATCAGTAATTACAGTGTAGGTGTGCATATGGCCCAATGGTTAGAACGTCCGCTTTCTAACCTTGAGACCTGAGAGCGAATGGTCGATTTGTCGTCTTGATGTTATCGGTCTGGGGAAGGCGATCCCAGCGTGTGCCACCTTTGGAAATTGCCTGAGAACCATACCACGGTTTGACCCAAGCCTTGTGAGTGAAAATGGGTAGACGGAACCTTTGAGGCCGTCAATGGCTCCGCTAACACAAAGTAATCATCATGACAGAGGGTTTGAGCGTGCTGGCTTTGTTCAGATTGTTGATCATTCTAGATAACCCATTCCTTTCCCAGAAACTGTAACTAAGGTCTGCTCAGCATAGTTGCAGTATAAACCACGGGTAGGCTCTGTGGGTGTTGAACAAACACAAAATGCGCTTGAAGGATTAGCTTGCCGCCCTAGTAGAGGAGTATCCTCGAATATGATGTACATGTGTTGTACAGATTAATGGCAATAGATACGAAATGCAAATATATTAGGTTGGTGCAAAAATAATGACGTAATAATGTCGTTTTTTGATGTTAAAAAATACGTTAAAAAACGACATTTTTACGTCATTATTTTTGCACCAACCTAATAGAATGTTATAATTGAATTTTTATTTAAATAATTAGTTGATATTTCAAATAGTTTGCGGCACAATTTGCACATTAACTGAGAGTTCAAATGTACAAAAGAGAATTGTATGCAGTTCACTATATTAAGAAAAATCTATTCTGTTCACTGATTTTTCGAATCTGCTAATAATTGCTTCTTCATCCAATTCACCAACAGTTCCTTTTCAATGCATGATTTCAAATTCTCCTCTGACAGCGAATTTCTTAATTCCTTATCATATTTAGATTTGAAAATGTCTTCTCGCATCGGACATGAGTAACTCGCAGAGTGCAGAAGGATTTATAAAATTCTTATTCTTTTTTTATTACTAAAACAGTTGTCTGTGACTGTTTCTTTATTGCATTTTTATTTGCTATAAGAGGCCCAAACCATCAAGGAACCACTTGCCATCGGGCAAGCTGAGACCTTGTCCTGTCTGTCACTGACCATCAATTATAAAAAAGACAATATATGATTGTCAGCAAATGGAACGTCCCAACATACAAGCTACGGATTAGAGATGTACAGAAGTTCAAATATCCGGAAAATGTTTTAACAGAGGACGGAAAGTGTGGTCACGATAATAAAAAGGTGCAGTGGAATAGAAAAATACCCCTTCTAAAATCTCATCAAAATATTAAGAAACAGTAAAATATCATTAAAAACAGAAAAAAAGAAAACACGGCTGATATGTAATATCAATCTTCCGATATAGCAATGAATGCTGGACAATCTCCTCTCTGATGAAGAACTGGCAACTGCAATGTGGCTCTACAGAAGGATGCTGAGAATACAATAGGTAGAGTATATAATCAGCGAGCTAGATTTTAAGATAAACAGAAACAAAAAGAACACTTATATTAGAATCAGAGAATTGACATTTTCCTAGAAATTTCAACTCTCTGATTTAACTCTCGCAAAATGAGGAAAGAAAGCTTGGAGATTTCGGCACTCACGGGATATACTAAAGGGAAAAAGAGCGAAGGGAAACATCAAATACCCTGTCTAATGAGATAATTGATAGACAGCAACATGTATTAGTCAAAATTCTCATTAGACCGCAAATGTCTTAACTTTGTTATTATGATATTAAACTGAAAATATCCTCTCGCATCGGATTTGAACAACTCGTAGTGTACAAATCACTTCATAAAGTTCTTATTCTTTTGATAGCTAAAATAATTGTCTCTGTGTCTTTCTCTATTGCATTTTTATTTGATATAAGGGGTCCATTCCATCAGGCCCACGTTTGCCATGGGTAAATCTAATACGATGGCCAGAGAGCTACTCTTTTGAAGCATACATGTTACGTGGTATTTAAAGCGAAGGCACTAATGCAACAAGTTTGCTGCGAAAATAAGCCCAGACAAAGAGAAACAAAATTAGAACAAAAACACATTTCAGTAGCTAATAGCTCTTTCTTTATAGGCGCGTAAAACAGAAGTGACATTAATATTTAAATATGGATATTTTCTGTGGACAATGATTACAACGAAAATGAAGAAGACACCTACTACGTTGATAAGATAAATAAAACTCTCATAATACCTTTAAAGAGATAATGCCAAGCAATATCTGCACCTCTATAAGAAATAGTATTGATGACCAATCACGATAAGAAAAAAATAGAAAACTCTTATTTAAAACAGAAAGAATATAGACCCTTTGTACATTCTTCTCTTATTTTTCTAATCAATTCGCCCCAAGCAAGACAACAAAGCGATAAGAGAGCAAATGGTTACTAAGTGTTAGAGAATATGAGAAAAAAATACTCTTAAAAAAAGGGGGCAATAAATGAACAAGACAAGACAAAAGATAACGATTGACATTTCATTTACATTTTTTTTACGATCAAATTTGTCTGGGAAGCGAGAAGGAGGAAAAGAGTTCCACAAGCGTGAAGGGCGATAGGAGAAACTGTTATAAAACATTGGCGATACCAAAATGAAACAAGTGCAAAAATTTAAATATCTGTGAAGTGTTTTAACAGAGGACGAAATGTAGGAGACTGAAATTCGAGCGCGCATCGTGATAGTCAACGATGCTTGCTAAAAGCTAACAAAACTCTTATGAAACATTAAAAAAAAAATTCTTAGAAACAAAGAATGCTGAACCGTTACGTGATATCTGCTCTCCTCTATGGCAGCGAATGCTGAACACTCTCCTCCCAGATTAAGAAAATATTTTAAGCAAAAGATATGTGGTTCTACAGAAGGATGCTGAGGATACTATGGACTAAAGATATGAGCAACGACGAAGTTTTAGAGAAAATGGAAACAAAAAAAAAGATACTTATACTTAACACGACGAAGAGATATTTTACATTTCTAAGGTACATGAGGAAAGAAGGTTTGGAAAATCTGATACTCATAGGACATATTGAGGGCAAGAGTTACAGAGGAAAACAACTCATAACCTACTTAGCGAGCTTAAGTAAATGGATGGTGGAACAAGGTTTAGGAGAAATAACAAAAAAACAAAGACAGTATGTGGAGAGCCATGACCGCCTACGACTTGAAGGGACACGGCATATGAAGAAAAAGGTTAATGCTCTCAAAATATTTTTAACAAGATTAATCAAAAGGCTTTGCCGCAAAAAAAAACCTCAGCTATTGCCACTCTGAACGAGTTCATCAAGTACTTTCTATCAAGTAGGACCAACATGATTGTTTTAAATAGCCAGACCTCCTAGGTCTTATGAGATCAAAGAAGGCGTCTCCTCAGGCTTTGTATTCATTACGACTCTTTTCCGGCTCTTTACTAAAAATATGTCGAATATACATATTAAAATAGATATAAAGGACAATGAAGCCAGAATTAAGTGATAGATATCAATGATTGATCGTTTCGGAAAAGAAGGGAGCATTGATTTTTTTTCAGGAATAATAATCGATTGAATAAATCAGCTTCGAGGGATAAAAATTGATTTACATATGAAAATAAGATATATTTATTGACAATCAGTAAGCAATTAAAATGAGTTATGTATAAAATCTGGTAGTTGGTCAAAGTTGAATAGATAGATACATAAATATAAATTAAGAGAATTTGATACATAGAGAAGGAGAAAGATAGATAGATAGACAGACAGACAGGTAGATAGATAGAAACATATTTAGATAGACTGTGAGAAAGTGAGAGTGTGAGATAGATAGATAGATAGATAGATAGATAGATAGATAGATAGATAGATAGATAGATAAATGCAAAAAAAGATTGATTAAGATAGAAAACAAACGGAGATAGACGGATAGAAAGGTAAAAAAGATTGAGATAGGTAGATAGATAGATGCGAACAAAATGAAATAGCTATCTAGCTAGCTAGCTAGCTAGATAGATAGATAGATAGATATGAATCATATGATAGATTAGTAGAGAGATAGAAACAGAATTAAATCTCTTTTCATATATAGGTATATATTTGTACATATATACCTAGATATGAAAAGAAAATATTGATATGAATATCAAACAATTGAGATAAATAGAAACGGATTGAGATAGATAGATGGAAAAAAAACAGAATGAATTCTCCTTTCATATATATATATATATATATATATATATATATATATATATATATATAAAGTGAGAGAGAGGAAAGAGAGGGAGAGACATAGATAGATATGAACAAACTGAGATAGAGATAGATAGTTATTTAAAACTGATATATAGAAACAGAGATAGATGGAAAGAAACAAATCTCCTTTCATATATATATATATATATATAGATAGATAGATAGATAGATAGATATGAACTGAGATAGAGATAATTATATACAAAAATGATATATAGATAGATAGATAATGAAAAACTGCGATAGATAGACAGACAGATAATGGACAAACTAAGAAAGACTAAGTTTCTGCAGTAAATCAGGCAAGAATCGACTCTAATTTACCAATTCGGGAAGAGGAAAAGAGAAAGAGAGTGAGAGAGAGAAAGAGAGTGAGAGAGAGAAAGAGAGTGAGAGAGAGAAAGAGAGAGAGAGTGTAATGAAAATGCTGCGATATATGGCCTCGAATCAGATAGATCAATCTTGTGAGGCGATGCAGAGATCCGTGCGAGTGCGTTCGATCGAGAGATAGTTTTTAATAGCGGCACGTTTTCCTTTCGGTATCCCATGAGCAATCATTGACAAATCAGATGCGCTTGGCCATCTGATTCTGCGCGGAATCAGTCGGATGGAAAATGACAAGGTGAAGATCAGACAAGCGAAAAGAAATGTTGAGTTGTCACTAAGTCGATAAGTGCTCATGTACGCGGGCGCGTAAGACGCGGGAAATCCATGGGTTTTTGTCTGTTTGGTACGTTCCTAGCTAAATGGATTGGTAGGTAGCAAAGTCGATAGATCGATAGACAAGTGGCGGGGAGGATCAGGAAATATATTTCTCTATCTGATATAGCTTGCCAAACTAGAAATAAAGCATAATGTAGACATAGGTACACCAACCTTAATGTATATATTGTCGTGGTTAGATGGCAAAGTAGATAATCTTGATATACACCGAACGAGATAGCTGAATAGATAGACAGGTAAGGACAGAATAATTTGTAGATAAATAACAGCCTAAATATATATATATATATATATATATATATATATATATATATATACACAAAAACATATATATATATATTTATATGTATATATATATATATATATATATATATATATATATATATATATATATATAAAGTCATTTTTATGTTTATAAATATATATATATGAATAGTATAGGATAGATAGGTCAATAGATATACTGGAATTGAGATAGATACAAAGAATGTGATAGGTATGAACAGACGTAAATAGATAGATAGATAAATAGATAGATAGATAGATATTAATACTGTAAATCATACAGACATAACCTAATGTTATATATATATATATATATATATATATATATGTGTGTGTGTGTGTGTAAATGTCTATAAATATAAATATATATATATGCAATTTTATGTATATATTATTTATATATTATATATGCGCGGTACTTATTGAAAGCTCTCAATATCAGTGATAATACTTAGCGTGAAACAGGTTCACAAACTCACATCAATACAACTAAATACACACACACACACACACACACACACACACACACACACACACACATATATATATATATATATATATATATATATATACTGGGTCATCCCGGTGCAGAATTTGATATATTTGAGTAGACGCAGACAAATAACCTTGCTCCATCTTTCTTTCAGGAAGTTATCATCGCCAACTATTCATTTCTACCTATAATGGTGGCTCCTTCTTAAAAGAAAGATCATTTCATCATAGTAGAGGCGAACTAACAACATGTTGGCTAGTGGGTGACGTCCGTTGTCGACGGATGAGCGAGATTTCTAAGCCTGCAATAGTTTTTGTGGGTTTGAATTTAACAATGACGTGACCAAGCGCTAATGGATATTTGCTTGGTTTGTCACCGATAAACAAAATATGATTTCTTCAATTTCGTTGCACTTTGTCATCCCTGCATGACTTCCACGAACAGAAAAAAAAAACGATAGGGATAAGACAAAGAGAGAGAAATAATAACTATCACTACAGAATCCGAAGACGCACACCTCTCCAATCAAATGCCGAATCCGAAGACGCACACCTCTCCAATCAAATGCCGAATCCGAAGACGCACACCTCTCCAATCAAATGCCGAATCCGAAGACGCACACCTCTCCAATCAAATGCCGAATCCGAAGACGCACACCTCTCCAATCAAATGCCGAATCCGAAGACGCACACCTCTCCAATCAAATGCCGAATCCGAAGACGCACACCTCTCCACGACTACTTAGTAGAAGATCTAAAGAAACATTCGTCTCAACGGCGTGTGTGAAAACCCAACTCATCTCCACGCAAACAAATACAGAATCTGAAGACACACATATCTGCAATCCTACTATCGATGAATCTGACGACGCACATATGTCCACACCTATTTACTCGATGATAAAACGAAACACACATTTGCACGACTAATAGGGGAGAGTGTGAAGACACACGCGTCTGCATGCTAACAAATGCAGAATGTAAAGGCACACTCATCTGTCTGCTAACTATTAGCAAATCTGAGGACACACATACCGCAACGGTTAAGACCTGAGAGTCTGAAGACACACACAGGCGCACATCTCCGCGCATACAACTGGATAACGTGAAGCAACACACACATTTCCACGCATACAATTGAAGAATTTGAAGACACACACATCTATGCATAGTACTGAACCAATTGAAGATATACGACCATAGCAAATCGGAAGACGCACATATATATTTAGGCATACTGCTGGTGATTCTGAAGACAAACACATATCAGTGCAAATTACTGGAAAGTTTGAAGACACACGCAGCTGCATGTTTAATACTTCTGAATCTTAAGACGTACACATCTATAAATGGCAAAAGTGGCGACACACTTTTCTCGACATCTAATTTTGGAGTGGGGACGCACACATCACCGAACACCTCTTCACACATACTACTGGTGAATCTAAAGACACACACCTCCGTGCATACTACTGAAGAGTTTGAGGGCACACATATATTTGTACATTGTACTAGAGAGTTTTAATGTACACGTATCAGTATGTCTAATTCCAGAAGAAACGCATCTTTCAACGACAAATGCTGAAGCTTTCGAAGACGCACATATCACTGAGTATACTAAGGTTGTATCTGAAGACACCCATATCTATGCATAGTCTTGGAGAGATTGTTCTAGTTCCACGTGCCATGCCTTTTCCGGATGTCTCAGTTATTTCCCTTTAACCCAACTCTCCATGTTTTTGTTCACGACTGCCGTAGCCTGGTATTGAACTCACGCGGAAGAGGCATGGCACGTGGAACTAGAGAAATCTAACCCGGCGGACGAAATCAAGGGTTCGGCTCGAAATTCCAATCACCCGAAGAAGGCCCGTGCGTACAACGGCTGAACGTTGTCAATGAAAAAGAAGATAACCGTCCCAATAATGTAAATAATGTAAAAAGTAATCATAATACCTCATCTCAGAGGTATAGACAGATAATCATATTACATACATACATACATACATACATATATACATATATATATATATATATATATATATATATATATATATATATATATATATATATATATATATATATATATATACTTTCCAGTACAATCCACTGATATGTGCGTCTTCCGATTTTGACGTGATAATATATGTATATATTATTACGCCAAACGTTATTTTTAGTGGATACATGTATTTGGGTGAACAGCCTCACAGACAAGTATGTTTGCCTTTCAAAATGCATTTATTTATTTTTTTTCTGAGGACATCTATCTACTCAGTTTAATATTCAAAACGTAAGCAAAGCAATCACTAAAAAACATAATTGACTTTATTTTCTTAATTTATATGTTTTTATTACTTCAACGTCATTTTTAGTGGATGCCAGTGTTTGGATAGACGCTCCGTTTATTTTAAATATTTTATTTCTCAAGAATTATCGAGTACAGTGGCTAGCAGACTAAATAAATGATGTTTATATTAAAAGGAGCGTCTATCCAAATACAGATATATACCTAAAAAAACAACATTTGAATCAACACACACACACACACACACACACACACACACACATATATATATATATATATGTATGCGTAATGTATTAAGTCCCACAAATATTTGAATATATTTTCTGTTTTGTATGCATAATGTATTAAGTCTCACAAATATTTGAATATATTTTCTGTTTATACGTTATTTTATGGATACAACTTATTTGAGTAAACCCTCTGTCTTTAATTCAACAGAATTAATTACATTTACCACCCTGAATATTTGAGAAATTTCGCAGAGAATATGCGTCCACTGACAGGAATCGAACCTGTATCCCATGCGGAGACCGCCATTTAGCCTGGCGTGCTTTTAACTGATTCAGCCAGTTTAGCAATATCCCCTTTAAATTGTTTTGTCACGCTAAAATGGATATAGAAAATAAAGGGACGCTGCCTTAAGCCAGCGTACTACTGTAGCGATAATCGGTTAAATTTAACTTTACGATACCTGAGGTATTTTTAGATCATTTAACCAAAAACAAGGCAATATAGCCATTAAAATGCAAGTAGTTACTGAATGTTAGATAATGAGAAAAATGCAACATTATTAAGAAGAGATAAACATATAAGAGTAATTACGAAGACAATATAATATAATAATTATAAGACGACTTTTTTTTTTACAAATAATCGCGCTGTTTTAATCTTATTTAAATGTTCGCGTAGCGAAGTATTTATCGGTACTGAATGTGGGATTTACGTATCGAATCTAAATTCTGTTTGTGGCCTTTGGTTTTCTTTCGCACAAATACCATTGGAAAATGATGAATCTACTCTGGGAACAGGAATCCACTCTGGGATCTCGAATCCACACTGGGACCTCAGACCTTTTATTGTATCCAGTCTAAGAGAAAGCCAACTCTGCATTCAAAACTGGATGGGCGTTTCCCGATACTCGACACGAGCGTGTGTAACTCCTAAATGTTTAAAACAACATTTTTCTTTAAATTTTTATTCCAGATTCAAAAACACTCTCATGTGAAGCAGGTTTATTCCAGAAGTTCAATGGATATTTAAAAAATAAATAGATAAAGTACTTTGAAAATTTAGAAGAAAAAATTAATGGGACAAAATTAAATAGATAGGGAAGTGGAAATACATGGAGTTATGATTCTTCCGAAAGAATGTTTTCTAGAAATATTTATTACAGTAAAGATATTTACTAAAATAGATTTTATATAATTCATCAATCATATTTTAAATCTGGTTGTTCCAGAATTCTTTGTTAGTCATTTAGCAATTACCTCATAAATAATCGGGTATCCCGTTTTGATCGGAAGGAATGATGAAAAAGTCTTATTACAGACGTTGTTTGGTTTCAGTGAGAAAAAAATAAGAAACAAAGAAAGAAGGAGTAAAGAAAGAAAAAGAAAAGAAGGAAGAAATAAATATAGAATGCATCAAAGCAAAAAACAAGAAAGAAAGAAAGAAAAATGAAAGAAAAGAGTAAAAAGAAGGAAAGATAAAAATGAAAGGAAGAAAGAAAAACGATAAAGAAAGAAAGAACAGAAAGAAAAAAGGAAGGAAGGAAGGAAGCGAGGGAGGGAGGGAGGGAGGGAGGGAGGGAGGGAGGAAGAAAGAAAGAAGAAAGAAAGGGGAAAAGAAAGAAAAAAGAAAGAAAGTAAGAAAAAAAGAAAGACAGAAAGAGTAAAGAAAGAAAGAAAAAAAGGAGGAAATAGAGGAAGAAAGAAAGAAAAAGAAAAGAAGGAAGAAATAAATACAGAATGCATCAAAGAAAGAAAGAAAAATGAAAGAAAAATGAAAGAAAAAGAGTAAAAAAGAAAGAAAGATAAAAATGAAAAGAAGAAAGAAAAACGAAAAAGAAAGAAAGAAAGAAAGAAAGGAAGGAAGAGAGGAACAAAGAAAAAAGAAAGCAAGCAAGGACGAAAAGGAGAAAGAAAGAAAGAATGAAAGAAAAAAGAAATGAATGAATGAAAAAATAGAGGAGGCGATAACGCTCTCACTGTGTTTAACACCTACTTCAGCGAAATGGAAAAAGTTGTAAATTTAAATACTCCAATTGAGACAGACGAACATTGCTCATTAAAAGAAAAAGTAAACAATGAAAGCCATTTGCCCTATGATGAGTATCTAACGAAACCATGACGTAATAATGACGTCATTTCATCGCAGTACATCCTTCGGTTTCTCTCTTTTTCTGTCGTTTTCTTTCGATGTATTTCTCTCGCTTACTCTGTGTTTTTTAAGAACTTCTATAAGCTATCGGTTGTGAAATAAAACTATCCTAATAGAATTTGTAGTGTTTAATGAATCGAACCAAGTAACATTCATCTTTTAAATATTTCAGCTCCGGTTATATCAAGATTGACCAACAATCTGCGTTTAGAATGTTTTCCCTAAACCACTGAATATAAGCCGTTTATATGAGCGAGTTTCAAATTCGATTAGCTTTCAATATTAAAAATTAAATTAAGTTCAGGAAATTAAATGTTCAAACGTGTATATATATATATATATATATATATATATATATATATATATATATATATATATATATATATATATATATATATATATGTGTGTGTGTGTGTGTGTGTGTGTGTGTGTGAGCACGGCGTAGTGATCTGGAAAGTGGGGGCGGTATGCTGTTTCAAATTCCGGCCGAGGTTTTTGCATTCACTTTCACGCAAATAGCCTTAGGAAATATATGGATTTATTATTTCTACCCATGTAGGCATCGACTGAGCTCTTCAGTTATAAATTAACGTTTATAATCTAAAATTCAGCATATAGTAAAACTTTGTCTTAATTTTTGTGATTTAGAAAAAAAATCAATTTCCCCCATGCAAGGCGATAATGCCACTAAGACGCAAGCGGCTACTGGGTGTGAGAGAGAGGTTTGTGAATCGGAAGATAGGCGAACCGATCTGCTGTTATTGACAAGAAAAGAAATAGTAGATAAAATTTCAGAGTTCAAGCAGCGACGGGTTATCATTGTTTACACTATTTACATTCGAACAGTTGTCCTCATCTTTGTTATTTTTATCACAGCGTTTCGGACAATTATGCTCCACGGTCTTCATCAGGTGTATATCGATTAATCTACAGGGAACACAGAATTGAATCTTTTATTTAATATACGTGTGTCTATGAAAATTAAATTTGTTGAACCTAATTTCATTTTTAATGTTGAAAGCTAATCGAATGTAAAATGTGAAAGTCCCTCAATCACACGCCTTTTATTCTGTGATTTATATAAAACATTCTCAGGACAGATTTTGGGTTAATTTTGTTGAGATGTTGTGAGTTTCCCGCGTGTCAGTGTATGAATCAAGACAAACACAGTTGTAGAGGAAAATACTGGTATATTTGTAAAAGCAATTAACAATAGAGTGATTAGTAGAACGAAGGTTGGTTAGTACGAAACAATATCCAAAGTCTATAGTCCAACGGTATGTACCTGGTAAGCTTATCTGGACTGCTGTCGCTGACGCTCTCCCGTCTTCTCTCTAGAGCTGACTTATATAAGAAGAGGGACCAGTCCATTTCTAGTTAGAAGGTGGGTGCGCCCCAACAATTTTGATACAACCTTAGCTGAAATGTTAAAAAGATGTACTTGCTTTGATTAATTAATAACTATTCTATTCGTATGGATTTGTTTCACAGTCATTAATTTATATAAAAAACCCAGATAGAGAGAGAAATACAGCGAAAGTAAAAGACAAAGAAAAAAAAAGAAGAATGTACAGACGCTTGGAGATAAATCACCCTGAGATACACTTGTACTTATAAATGGATCTTGATAGACGTTAAGGTACTACTTTAACATAAGAATATAATGGCAGTAGAGTAAAGTAAAATACGGATACACCAAGACCTGGCAGAGCAAGGCAGAAAAAAACTATGAAGCAGCAGCAACTCAAGTTGTCCCTTTTGTTGTTGGCACACTCGGTAACATTTCCAGGAATATTTCTACTATGCAGGTGTCTTGGGGATATCTGTTTTTATTATTATTAATCATTTCCCACCAAGCAAGGCGATAATGCCACTAAGACGCACGGGGATACAGATTGGGAAAAAGAATGGGAAGGCTTTAGCGAGAAATTAGGTGAAAGGACAATAAACGAACGGGGTTCAGGAAGAAAGAAGATGTCGATTGATGTTGCGTTTCAAGTTTTGGCTGGTAAGAATAGAAGCGACTGTTGCATCGAGCTAGTTCAACAGTAGAACAGTGAGACCTAATTGCTAATCTAGTAGCACGCTTAAATTCTTTGCAATCAGCGCACTAAAGAAAAAAAAAGCTCAACATAACAGTTGCCGTGAAAATGTTTGTAGGTAAGACAAAGGGCAGCTACGTTACGTCTGCGAGAAAAGAGCCTGAAGTCGACGTGCCACGCCAAACTAGGCCAGGATCGATTACATAACGGACCCTGTTTTAAATTTTATCAAGAGTCTCGTGATGTATAGCAGAAGCAGTAGACCAGACATCTTAGGAGTATTTGATGCACAGACGACTGGGAGATGTGCAAAATGGATTCTGACAAGAAAAATTTTCTGGCAAGCTTGCCATGAAACTATTTGTGGAAGAAAGAGAGCGTGGGTGGCAGCACAGCTTGGAACAGCTAATGTGTCGGAGAAAGTCATAAGCTGCAGGTAGGAAGTGAGATGTGATTATGACTATATTAATAAGATGGAATAAAAAACCAAGAATCTAATAATATCAGTGAAAAAGTCTCATCAAAAAATAAGTATTATAAGACATATGTATAAAGGTGGTGATGAAATAGTTAAAGCGACATTCTTTAAAAATTAAATAAATAAGAAATTCTAAAAAAAAAAAAAAAATGGTGGATTTATTTCACCGTTTTCTGACAAAATTCTGTTGTGAATCTTAAAGGAAACGGTGAAAATTACTCTCCGATTAGTCATGAAGGCTTCCGGTGTCGAAGTGATTATTGCAAAATAATGACTCACGAGTTTCTGGATACGATTTCTAAAGTGGGCGGACGTGTTCTATTGATTTCTGAGTTTCCTTATTTACTCTAATGGTCGAAGAGGATTTCGGCTCAGAGTTTTCTGGTAAAACCAACAACAATAAGATGGAGTGCAACTTGTCATCTCATAATAAGAATATTAAAAATAATAATAAATTTTGATTAATGACTGCGAAATGTATTATCATAGAGAAGACAGTCACATGAAATAAAATATATCTATTGTTGAACATAAATTAATATAAGGAACTTGAAGCTGAAATGGAACAAATATAACGCTGTTATCAAGAAATAAACACTGTTATCAAGAAATAAAGTGTTGCTGCCGACACTTGAGTTTGAACATAGATCGCCAGTGAGCAAACACGGGCGATCCTATTATTGAATTAAACAACGTAACCACAGAGAAAATGTATATATGGGAGGTAGCGTGTGTCTAATTGATCGTTATTTCTAGTCTATCCTTTATTACTATTCGGCTCTACATTTCTAGTCTATTCTCTACTCTATTCACTATACTATTTCTCTATAAGAATTACTATTCCCTGGTTACAGGCGAGTATTATCGAGCAAGTATTATTAGCACGAGTGTTCGAAGGCGTCTGACACCACTATTGTTCAACGGCGTCCTATAAATTGTATCTGCGATTACAAAGTCTTTACTACAACGAGCATTACGAAAGTGAAAACGGGTATTCGTTGGCATTACACAAGTGGCAACGAGTGTTCGTTGACATCACAAAAAACACCATAAATCTAATATTATACAGGGTGCTATGGGTAAATTGTCGCTATTTTATATTTTTGATTTCGCGCATGCGCGTTGTTTGTTTTTGATTTTATCGCCTGCAGATAATATAGTAGAGTCAGTTGAATATTGTCTGTGAAAACAAAAGAGCGTCGTAACGCAGTTCACACCGCCAGAGACGTCTTGCTGTAATGATTGACATTCGCGCTGGATTGATGGCGAATTATGCCTCCATTCATCTTCCCACAGAGGCTTACCTTGAGGATCTAATGCTGCACTGGGTCAACAAAAGGTGGATACTGGAATACCTTATACCTGGTCACATAAGCAGGAGAACCCAGTCATGGTTGTTAGACAATTTCTTTGACTACATCACCCTTATATCTGGCCACATAACTCCCCAGACTGCAACCCCCTTGATTATGTGTGGGGCAACAAAACTCCTTGTAAACACCGAAGATGAACTGAAGGCAAGGATTATGGCAGCATTCACCAACTTAACAAGGAGACCGTTCAAAAGAGTTGCAAGAGATTCCGAAGTCATCTGGATGCCATGGTTGAAGCCAATGACAATCATATTGAATTTAGTATTTCAAGATATTTTTGTGTAATTTTGGTAAATATATGTTAAAATGAGATGTTAGTGTTATTTTCATTTTCGCATAATTTTGCACATGCATATTGTTTTTTTTTTATTTTGTTTACTGCACAGTATAGAAGGGTCAGTTGGGCACCGTCTGAGAAAAAGAACACCATAATGAAATTCACTCAGCAAGAAATTTGGAAATGGCATGCTATAGTGCTTGGCATTTGCACCAGAAGCTTCAATATAAACATTTCAGAGTGTTTGGGTGTCAGCCTGAGGAGAGTGCAGAGGATTCAAAGAGAGTTAGAGGAGTCAAATGGTGATTATGAAAGTGCTTGGAGTGACCACTAGTGATGGCAATGTTATCCCTTCATTCATCTTCCCACAGGGTGACAGACTCAACACGGATGCCTACATCATGGGTCAAGTGGGCGCACACAAGCAGGAGAACCCAGTCATGGTTGTCAGACAATTTCTTTGACCACATCACCCTTCCATCTGGCCACCTAACTCCCCAGACTGCAACCCCCTTAATTATTATGCGTGGGGCGCTGTTGAGCGAGAGATCAACAAAACTCCTTATAACACCAAAGATAAACTGAAGGCAAGGGTTATGGTAGTATTCATCAACTTAAATAAGGAGTCCGTCTAGAAGAGACGCAGTATATTTCGAAGTCGTATGGAGGCCGTGGTTGAAGCCAATGACGTTTTTATAGAATACATTTACTCTTTAGTATTTTGAGATATTTTTGTGTAATTTTGGTAAATATATCTGATGAAATGAGTGTTATTTTCATTTTTGCGTAATTTTGACG